TGGGGTGTCTCAGGTGTATTTTGGGTGTCTCAGGTGTATTTTGGGTGTCTCAGGTGAATTTTGGGTGTCTCAGGTACGTTTTGGGTGTCTCAGGTGGATTTTGGGTGTCTCAGGTGTATTTTGGGTGTTCTCAGGTGTATTTTGGGTGTCTCAGGTGGATTTTGGGTGTCTCAGGTGTGTTTTGGGTGTCTCAGGTGTGTTTTGGGTGTCCCCAGGTGAGTTTTGGGTGTCTCAGGTGGATTTTGTGTGTCTCAGGTGCGTCTCTCCCCTGCCCAGGTGAGTTTTGGGCATCCCCAGGTGTATTTTGGGTGTCCCCAGGTAGATTTTGGGGTTTTTTGGGCTCCCCAGGTGGATTTTGGGTGTCTCAGGTGAGTTTTGGGCAGGCCGTGTCCCCAGGTGAGTGTCTCAGGTGGATTTTGGGTGTCCCCAGGTGGATTTTGGGTGTCCCCAGGTGGGTTTTGGGTGTCTCAGGTGCGTTTCTCCCCTGCCCAGGTGGCCACGGGGCAGCCCCACGAGGGCTCGAGCTACGCCGCGCGCAAGAGCTGCCAGCTGGCGCTGAACCGGCTGGACTACGCCCGGCGGCGCCTGGCCGAGCTGGCCCGCGCCTGCGAGCTGATGCTGGAGCAGTGACGCACCTGGGGACACACCTGGGCACACCTGGGCACACCTGGGCACACCTGGGCACACCTGGGCACACCTGGGCACACCTGGGCACACCTGGGCACACCTGGGCACACCTGGGCACACCTGGGCACACCTGGGCACACCTGGGCACACCTGGGCACACCTGGGCACACCTGGGCACACCTGGGCACACCTGGGCACACCTGGGCACACCTGGAGCGGGAAAATCGGGGAAAAAATGGGATTTTTTTTGATTTTTGGGGGATTTTTTGGGACTTGACACGGTGGAAATGTGGCTGGGAAGACCTGAACACACCTGGACACACCTGGGGGCACACCTGGACACAGCTGGGAACACCTGGACACAGCTGGATGCAGCTGGGATGGAAAAATCCGGAAAAAAAATGGGATTAAATTGGATTTTTTAGTGATTTTTTTTTGTGATTTTTTTGGAGTTTTTTAAAATTTTTTTGGTGGATTTTTTGGGGAATTTTTTTTTATTTTGGGGGGGATTTTTTGGGATTTTTTTTGGGATTTTTTGGGATTTTTTGGGGATTTTTTTGGGGATTTTTTTGGGAATTTTTGGGATTTTTTGGGGATTTTTTGGGATTTTTGGGGGGATTTTTGGGGATTTTTTCGGGGAATTTTTTGGGGGATTTTTTTGGGATTTTTTGGGGAATTTTTGGGATTTTTTGGAATTTTTTTTGGATTTTTTTGGGGATTTTGGGGAATTTTTTGGGGATTTTTTGGGGAATTTTTGGGATTTTTGGGGATTTTTTTTTTATTTTTTGGGGGATTTTGGGGAATTTTTTTGGGGATTTTTTTGGGATTTTTTGGGGAATTTTTTTGGGGATTTTTTTGGGATTTTTTGGGGAATTTTTGGGGATTTTTTTGGGGAATTTTTGGGATTTTTTTTGGATTTTTTTTTGGATTTTTTTGGGGATATAAAACGACGCCAAAACGACCCCGAATCCTGGAATTTTTTGGGGGGAAATTTCGGGAATTTGGGGTGGAAATTTGGGGATTTTGGGGAGGTTTTGATCCATAAAAATGGAATTTTTTTGGGAATTCCGAACATCCGCGATTTCATTTGGGGAATCCTGGGATAAACCTGGAAAAAGGGTTTAAAAAATAAAGGGAATTCCCGGATTTCCGATGGGAATTCCAGAGAATTCCAAGGAATTCGCCCTCATCCGGTAATGGCGGCTCCCAGCCCGGACCCAGCGCGCTCCGCGGCCGCTTTTTTCCTCCTCTTCTCCTTTTTTGGGTCAAACCCGGAGGATTTGAGGCAAAACCCAACGCGGGAATCCCAAAAATTCCCTCAGAATTCCCAAAAATAAAATTCCCAAATTTTCCCCTCACCCAACATGGCGCCGCGCTCTGCCGTACGATGACGTCGCACCCGCGACGCCCGCGTTTGACGTCATTAAGAGAGCGCCGCCGCAGCGATGGCGGCGCCCGTTGCCGTACAGCGGCAGGGAAATGGCGGCTCCCGCTGCCGTTGCGTGACGTCATCAGGAGGCGCCGCGCGACGATGCTGGAGGCGCTGGGCCCGGGGGGGCTCCTGCTCGTGAGGGGTGAGGGGGATTTGGCGGGAATTTTTTGGGGAATATTTCGGGATTTTCGGGATTTTTTTGGGAATTTGAAGGGTTTGGGAATTCGGGGAGGCTCTCCAGGATGTTTTTTCCCCTCAGACACCGCCGAGTCCGAGGGTCGGAGCCTCCTGCGGGCGCTCGTCAGCGAGGCCGTGGCCAGGTGAGGATTTTTGAGGGAAAATTGGGGAAATTTGGGAATTTCGGGATGTTTTGAGGGGGTTTGGGGGGCTCTCGGGTGGGATTTGGGGAATATTCGGGAATTTTGGAAGGGTTTAAAGGGGATTTGGGGGGTTTGGGGGGACCTGGGAGGGTTTTGAGGCGATTTTGGGGGCTCCTGGAGAGATTTTGGGGGATTTTTGGGGTGGTTTTGTGGGATTTTTTGGGGGGTTTTGGAGGTTTTGGGGGGTTTTGGGAGGTTTTGGGTTGTTTTTTTGGGTTTTTTGGGGGTTTTGAGGGTTTTCTTGAGGTTTTTGGGGGAAGTTTGGTGGATTTTTGGGGTGGTTTTGTGGGGCTTTGGAGGTTTTGGGGGGATTTTGGGGGTTTTGGGGGGTTTTTGGGGTTTTTTGGGGTGTTTTTTGGGGTTTTTGGGGGTCTCGAAGGGCTCCGAACGCCCCCCAGGGCTGAA